TACTAGCACTTAACAACTAGAAGAGTATTTTTTGAAGTCATACATCTGATTCTTGTGACACATAAATTGTGTTGTCATTTATGTTACTGATTTCAGTATTTAATTTTAGCATGATGCACCCCATTGTGATACACTGGTTTATTTTCCCAAGCGAAGCAATACCAGAGAAATAAGATTAAGAATGGTCAGTGACAGTAACAGTATTCTCTTCTATGACTTCCGAATTGTAAGATGGTCATTCTTCAGTTGTGTACTGTTTCCTTTCACATGTGAGATGTTACAATATCACTCTTAAATATTTTAGACCAGAAATCAAGTTTCTCAAATTTTAACATATTTAAGGAAACTTTTTTTTTTCCTTGCTACCTGACACATGGCTTTTGAAGAAATTTTTTCATTAGAAACAAAGTTTCAGGTAAATAAACTTGCTGAAAAAGTGTTCTTCAGGTTTGATGTTTCAGAGTATGATCTTCCTGAAAGGGCAGTTTGCCTTTGTGTGATGACTCCTCTATAACTCAGAGTTTCTCTTTAGTCAACTTTTTCCACAAAGATACGACAACTCAGTGAATCAGCAGTATAACAAAAGGTTATACCGTGGGTGGCAATAACTTTGTATTTCTTTATGTAGGTATAATGCAACTTCTTAGTGTGGTATCAGGTTTTGGGGGTCTTTTGCTGCTTTAAAAATAATTTTTAATATGGGATTTTGAGTAGCTATGAGTTTTCCAGTGTTTGTGCTCTCACGCGAACAGCTATGGATCTGAATTGAAGATAACTATTTTTCAGAGGAACGAACCCCTCAGACTGTAGTTATATTAATGACCATATAGTTGCCCTCCCTCACCTCCTTCACGTGCAGTATTCATCATGTTGTGTGTACTAAACAAGCTGTCTCCTCAATACAGAAGTTTAAGGAAAATCCAGTAGTGTTCAGGTGAATAGGTAGGTTTCAGAGCTAAGTAAAGCTGTCTGCAGATAGTCAATGTCTCTGCTGTGCAGGCGGGAATGTATTTTCAACAACTCAAATTTGCAAGCATGGATAGGAGCTGGAGGAAGGCAAGGGGGGAGTCACTGACTGGTCCTCTGGTTGTCAGACCTTTTGGTTCTATTTCCATCTGAAGGGTGAGTGGATCTGGATAGCTTTTAAGAAGAGATGAAGTGGAAAATGAATAATAGGTATTCTTCTAATGATCACAGTGTCCAAATTTTATTGACTTTGGGTATACATACTGTTAGATAACACCCTAAACTCGGGTGTGAACTGTGTGTGTTGCTATACAGAAGAGGCAAAAATACTGTCCAGCTGTCTAAATAACTTGTTTTTCTTTTTTACTCAAGATCGGGCTGGTTTGTGCTAATACACTACTCTCTTACTCTGTATGAACCTTCATTTTCCAAAGATTCTTAAACCTTTCAGTTCTGATGGGAGCTCCATGCTTGACATTTGCCATGATTAAGTTAAAGGAATAGACTGCGTAATGGAGTAAAATGGGAGGAGATGCCCCTCTAATCTTGTGCTACAATGTTCTTTTTAAGCTCTCTCTGGTCTGTTGTTTGTTGCCTAAAAATCTGTGGCTTTGGCTCCATCATCTTTAATATCATCTGCCATTTGAGAAAGCTTTATTACAGGAATGCTTGTGGATAAAATTATAGGTTCTGTTAATTTTCTCTATTTCCATAACCAAGTCTTGAAGAAAAATCTAAATGTGAACAGTGCAAACCCAAAGCATGAATCTGCTTAAAGAACTTGACTTATGAGGAGTTACCTAGCACAGGACAAGTATATTTTCGCCTTTGTTACAGCACTACTGAAAGACTTTGTATTTATGCAGTTACTTTAACTAGGCTGAGTAAATTCAATCCATTTAGGGGATGGATTTTAATTTTTTGTGTCACTTAGAAGTTGCTCTGTGCTTTTAGCTCTTTGGCTTACATTTATGAACTTAATGCGAAACTTGGTAGCAGAACACATAAAAGCACTTTATGCTTTTCACAAACTCAGCCAAATCCTTTCCTCTTAATTTTTCATCTCCAGTGTGCTTTCAGATCTGTTGGAAATCCTTGTAAAATTAGGTGGGTTTTGTAGCAGAAACTGACAAATCGCTAACTACAACTAGTAGGCAACGGCGTAGTAAGCTTAGCACTGGAGTGTAAGCCTTAATGAAGGCAGTGCTCTTAATTTCTGTGTGACCCTATTACATAGCGAAGGTTGTCATTATGAAATAAGAAATTTGAAGTGTCATAAACCTACTGGTAATAAATACAATTAATAATGTACATAGAACAATGGAATTAAGTACATTCCTATCAAAAAGAATTATTAATGAACAGAAAGTGGACAGCATATATCTGATGACGGGAAGGTTGCATCTAACCTGAATTACTGAGTGACCTAGGAAGCTTGCTCAGAGGGATTACTGAATAATTATGTTAATATGCAATTATCACTTCCATTTCTTCTGTAGTAACCTCAAGATGTAGTGTAGTAAGGGTGTTATAGCAAGTGCTGATAGTTTGCAAAAATACTGATGTTCAAGATTTTTGAGACAATAAGATTAGCTTAAGGCACTTAAATGATGATCTGTCAGCTTGAAGATAGATCTGACCTTACACTTCTTTAATGCTTAGACTGTCTGGCCACAGGCAGTCATATCTACAGAAGTCATTATGATTTTTAGAACTGGTATTTTAAGAAGAGAAGTATTATTTTAAAATGTAAACTTAAAAGTACTTAATTAAATAGGGATGGATTGTGGCTTAGTTGGCTAAATAATGGGTTGTTTTCTACTTTTGAATATGAAATAATTACTATATAGTAAACGGCATATTGTGTAACCCAGAAATAACACTGTTAACTGCACTACAGTCTTTGTAGGCTTAACAGAGGTAATTGAATTGAATTTGGCCTAGCCTTTTAGCTAAAGTGTGTTTCAAAGGTATGGGTCTGGGATTGTGTACACTTGAGTATGCTTTTGGAGCACTGCCATTTTTTACACTTCTGTATCTCCTAGGTATGCTGCACTATGTTTTTAAATAGAAATTATCTCAGCTGTTTGCCCTATAAGCAGTACTTGCAGCAGTTTTAAAGTTTGACCTCGATGTTTAGTTTTTCAAAAAACTAAGTAAGGATTAACTACCATACATTTTGACAGAATTAATAATTTGTTTATTTTTGATATTGTATAGAGAAGCTAATTTCAAAACTGAGGAAATAAGCAAAGAATATTGCATAGGTTTGGTTACATCTTAGTTGTTAAAATGATTGGTTGGTTTGTGGGGGTTTTTTCCCCTTTTTTTTGTTCAGATTAGGTAGTGTTTTAGTTTAGGTGTTGCGTTTCCTAAATGGTATGAGTTGTATGATAAGGTTTCCTCAAAAACGATGGCATTATGTGGGCTGTTTTCGTGACCGTGTCTTGTTACACCTGTCATTGTTACTGCATGAATTTCTACACGTGGAGTAGGTAACGTAAACTGAGTACTGCATCTTGGCTCAGGGTCATCATGAGACTAAACTACCGTAAAAAGCTATTTTGTTTTCTTTAATGCCACGCTGTTTAAACTGCTAACTTTCTTGCTACTCTCCTGCATGTAAAATAGTGAATGGTACCACCCTGATAGCTGGAAAAAATGTGATAATTAGCAGAAAAATTAGCATTAAATGTAACAGCAGTATTATTGATACAGTAAGCATTTCAGGCTTGATTCAAAGACTGTAATCTGTAGGGACAGCTGTATTACTGTAGGAGACTTCTAATCAGACCCATGTGGAATAGTTCACAATCTCCACAATATGGAAAGGAGGCCCTTACAAGACAGCACAGAGTAATGTTTTGGATAATGCTGCTGATAACTCCGAAAAGAGTTCACTTCAAGGCTGATCATATGGTGCTCTAGCCACCTTCCTAACTTAGGCTTTAACGCTAATATTTAGCATCAGTATGGTTTTGTGTGTGGAGCAACATGGTTTTGTCTTCATCACGTAAACCTGTGAAAAGTTTTCAGGAGCCGTTCTGATAATGAGGGTTGCGATCTCCAAGCAGGCATGATATTCTCAGTTTGCCTCCCCGCTGTTCAGGGGCTACCAGTGAAGTTGCTTTAAATGGGAAGCGTCTGTTCTTCCTCTGAACCCCTCACACCACAACAGATGGGTGGAACTTGGAACATGGAAGGTTTTACCTCAGAGGTGGTAACAGTGAAGCCACTCATTAACACTGAATTTACCACTTCGTTAGCAACGTTGCTTCCTGTTGAGAAAAGCTAATAAAGGCTCTCAAATTGACTGAGCATACATTTGTCTGCCTCTGCAGTAATAAAACAAGGAAAACACATCTTTCAGGCAAAATTGACTTCCTAAATTTCTTCTAAACTTTTTGTGAACATATTTATACTCTGCTGCTTGATACTGCCTTAAACCTATACTATTCAGTTGTAAAATTGTTGGAGCTGCTGTGTGCATCCTTGGAGGTTTCACTTCTTTTAATTGACTTTTGCATTACTGATTCTTAGTGCGTGTTTGCACTGCCCATTTCTAACTTGTATAGGTGATGTAAAGACTCCTGCTGGGTGGTGCATTATCACCGTTTTAGGGTAATAGCTTTGAATGTGATCTTATTGAAAGTCTTTGTTATGGTGGAAGATGACCTATTGCGAAACAGCAAAGAAGTGCAAAAATCTAAGAAATGAGAAGATAAAAAAATGGGAGTATAGTAGAACATTTGCATAAAGTTTTTACCTTCAAAACAGTAAATGATTAGTATTATATTAAGGTTTGCTTTTTACAAACTTAAAGGAGTTTAAAGTATTTGTTTTGTCCTTTTGCTGACTGGAAACCAAAGCAGCACAGTATCAGAATTTCATGAGACTGTAGCTAGCTTTGAATTGTGTGGATAGCTATCAAAATGTTGAATTGAAAAACTAATGGCAATGCTGGACTCTAATTTTAGAATGTGATGTATAAACATGGAAGTGGTGTGTTTAACCAGGTTCTTTTGTCTCCTTAGGAAAAAAGGATGTCAAGCGTGGTCTTCCTTGATTTTGATGAAGGACCATTGCAGGAAGCCATGGATATTAGTTGTGAGTTATAACATCTTAATTCAAGCAGTTTAGGTAATGCCTCCTTTTAACTGAGCTCTATTCAAAATGTCAATTAGTAACTGAAACTGTGTTGTTGTGGTTTAACTCAGCGGGCAGCTAAACACCACACAGCCATTTGCTCACTCCCCCCTGCAGTTGGATACTGGGAGAGAATCAGAAAAAAGGTAAAACTTGTGAGTTGAGATGAAGGCCATTTAACAGGACAGAAAGGGAGTGGAAAATAATATTAAATAAAAGAATGTACAAAACAAATTATGCACAGTGCAATTGTTCACCACCCACTGACTGATGCCCAGCCAGTCCCTGAGCAGTGCCTGCTACCACCCCAGCCAATTACCCCCAGCTTACGTGTTTAGCATGTTGCCATATGATAATGAAATACCCCTTCAGCCTGTTTGGGACAGCGTTTTTGGCTGTGTCCCCTCCCCCCGCCAGCCCCTGAGCGGTGCCTGCTACCACCCCAGCCAATTACCCCCAGCTTACGTGTTTAGCATGTTGCCATATGATAATGAAATACCCCTTCAGCCTGTTTGGGACAGCGTTTTTGGCTGTGTCCCCTGCCAGCTTTGTGAGCACCCCCAGCCTCCTTGCTGGCCCGGCAGTATGAGAAGCTAAAGAGTTCTTGACTTAGTGTAAGCACTGCTCTGCAACAACTAAAACATTAGTGTGTTATCAACATTATTCTCATCCCAGATCCAAAACATGGCACTATACCAGTTATCAGGAAGAAAATTGACTGTATCCCAGTTGAAGTGAGGACATTCCAAAGTAAATTTAAAGCCATTTCCAAGCTAGTCTTACAAATCATGAGCATCCATGGTGCTACATACTGGAAAATGTATCAAGGAAACTATCTGTTTTGTATTCTCAGTATTCCCTGGAACAGACAGCATAGAAAAGAGAGATTCTTCACTTAATGCAGAGTGACAAGGCAAAAGTTTATTTTAGTCCATGACTTCGGGATCCATGTGTCGTAACAGTCCTTTGGCGCAGGATAGATGGTGTGTGGTGTTGGATTGTTGCATGGTGAAGCCAGTTCTGGTTCTATTACTGCTGCATTTGTCCAGTTGTATCATCACTGCACTTTGCATGCTTTCATCAAAATCTGTTCTTCATAGTCTGGGCGATTCTTACTGTAATACTGTTGATATGGCATATAGCAACCATAGCAGTGATGACAGGCAGTATTAATGTAGCAATAATATCATGCAATTCAAATAATTGGCTTTTCTCACCTAAAATCAAATCCCTTTGAGGTACACATTGGACTTCCTCATCCTTCCGCATTACCTACCAGGTGCACCCAGGACCTTGAACAAAAGCAATCCTACAGATGGGTTTGCCTTCGCCTGAAGCAGGAATAACCCGGACTGTCTTCCCTGGCATATTTTTAATATGCAGTACTGGGACTTAGTCCCTTTTTTACATTACATGAAAATTTTGACTGGGCAGGGCCAGCTCCATTGACAGATCCCCTACTGTTGACAAACCATGTGGTTTTTGCTAAATGTGTATCCCAGTGTTTGAAAGATTCACTGCCCATCCTGTAAGTGTAGTCTTAAACAGTCCACTGTACTGTTTGATTTTCCCAGAGGCTGGTGTGTGATACACCCACTCAATGCCATGCTCTTTGGCCCAGGTGTCTATGAGGTGGTTACAGAAATGAGTCCTGTTGTCTGGCTCATTTCTTTCTGGGGTGCCATGTCACCACAGGCCTTGCTTTTCAAGGCCCAGGGTAGTATTTCAGACAGTGGCATGGGGCACAGGTTATGTATCCAGCCATGTTTCCAACATCTCTTCAGTTCGAATACAGCAAGTCACAGGTCCTGTGTATCTCTAACTCTAAAACCCTAAGGGTCGACTTTAGGTCTCCCCTGGTTCTTTCTGCCAGAGACTCCAGGTAGGGCCATTCTCCCCAGCTGGAGTGTAGAGCACAGTCTTCACATCTTGCCCTGCCCAGACTGGTCCAAGGGCTACGGTGTGGACTGTCTCCTGTTTAATTTGTTCAGAGGCTTGTCATTGCTCAGGGGCCCATCTGAAATCGTTCTTCTGGGTCACTTTTGATAGAGAGGGCTTACAATCTGAATGTTATTTGGAATATGCATTCTCCAAAAACCCACACGTAATGAAGTATGCTTCCTTTTTGCTCGTTGGTGGGGACATAGCTGTTAGTTTATTGGTCACGTCCATCAGGATCTGACGATGTCCATCTTGCCATTTTATTTTAAGAACTGGATCTCCTGTGCAGGCCTGTGACCTTACTTTGTTTTATGGCAAAACTGGCTTCCAGAAGGATTTGGATGATCTTTTTCCCCTTCTCAAAACCTCTGTCTACAGTGTCACCCCATACAATCATGTCATCAATGTATTACAGGTGTTTTGGAGCTGCACCCTGTTCCAGTGCAGTCTGGATCAGTCCGTGGCAAATGGTAGGGATGTGCTTCCACTCCTGGGGCAGTTGATTCCAGGTGTACTGGACACCCCTCCAGGTGAAAGCAAATTGTGGCCTGCACTCTGCTGCCAAAGAGAAGACGCGTTGGTGATGTCAGTTGTGGTGTACCTCTTGGCTGCCTTTGACTCCAGCCCTTAGTGCAGTTCTAGCTTGTCCAATGCGGCAGCACTCAGTGGTGGGGTGACTTCATTCAGGCCACGATAGCCCACTGAAGGGGTGAGTGAGTCTTGCTGATCACTCCTTGTCTCCAGCTGATGAATCAGCTTACAGATG